GATAGAGGGGAATCTGGGCTATTTGTAGCAGTGGATTTAGAAAAATCTAAACAATTTGTGGTGAATAAAATATCAAATGTCAGTTTGTTAAAATTCTAATTATATGTGGGTCAAACAGGGCCATAATACCAGTTCTTTAAAACCTTTAGTTATATGAATATGAATAAGAGAGTAATGTGTGAACCTATTGGTCAGTGGAGTCCCATCAACCCATTTCCATTTCTCCACTGTCTTGCTGTCTTTCAGGCCAATCCACATTTCGTCCTTCAGTCGCATTGTGAAAAGCTTTATACAGGGAGAAACAATCATCAGTATAACTGTGAATCTAAACAAATTAGCATCCTCTACCTCAGTCAACTTGCATTAATCAATATCTTTATGCTTCTGTCTTAAACACTAATAAATATACACAGACACACATACTGTACTGTACCTGTTCCTCTCTGCTGTTGATAATCATGAGGTCTGCCCCTCGTTGCAGGCAGTCGTCTCTACTTTCATGCCAGGTTTTCCTGATAGTAGAAATGTAATAAAAACTACTCTGGAAATATATCCATCCTTGGTGGGAATAATGATCTGTGAGTGAAAAAGAAAAATTTTTAATATCTTAGTCTCAAGAAGAGTTAATAAATCACAAATCCTGTGTTGGTTTTATTTAAGGCAACAATGTGTCATTGATTCAACACATCACAGTACAAATCTATGCCAGAACATGACTGTGCACACAGTAAATTCAAATCAATAGAGGCCAACTGAGGGCAGGAATTGCAAGGATCATGCCAAAACTAATGACATCGTATGTCACACTACTAGGCTTTTCAGACCTTTGATGTCATGGAAACAGCAGGCTAGCTACTGGAACTTTGTCATCTTGGAACCGGTCATAAATGTGACACTATGATTATGAAACTATCATGAAAGGAGAAGTGTCCACAGTCTGGTCTGTGGAAACAACCTTACCCAAACCCAAACACCCAACATTATTGGACAACCTGTCCCTCTCCTCACAAAAACAATTACATCCCTGTATGTAACACTTATATTTGCCCAGTTATGGACATGTCTCCTTTATGTTGTTTGTGTAGTTTCACCTTCACACTTACCAGTGTCACTCAGCTTCCTCTTCAGCTGATCTCGCTCTTCAGTAACAGCTTTTAAACTGGCCTCAATGTTCACAGTTTTGTTATCTGAAAAATCAGAAAGATCTAACATCTGAATTGTGCAATGAAGCTGCCATTTTGAGGGTCGATGTTACGACATGGAACAGCAAACCTCCACCATCACACCCCAAATCCTCATTGACAGTGGAAAAGTCACGCAGGACTTCAGGCAACTTGGATTCTGTGTCTCTCCACTCTTCCTCCAGACTCTGGGGCCTTAATCTCTAAATGAAATGCAAAATTTATTTTCATCTGAAAAGAGGACTTTGGACCACTGAGATACAGTCCAGTTCTTTTTCTCCTTAGCACAAGTAAGTCACTTCTGATGTCATCTCTGGTTCAGGAGTAGTTTGATACGAGGAATGCAACAGTTGTAGCCCATTTCCTGAAGATGTCTGTGTGTGGCGGCTCTTGATGCCCTGAATCCAGCCTCACTCTACCACTTGTGAAGTGAACCAAAGTCAATTCCTGAATCGACTTTGCTTGACAGTCTTCTTAAGGCTGCAGTCATCCCTGTTGTTTGTGTATCTATCTCTCTTTTCCCTTCCAGTCAACTTTCCATGAACATTCTTTGATACAGCGTTCTGCGAACAGCCAGCCTTTCAATGCTGACCTTCTGTGGCTTACCCTGTTTTTGGAGGGTGTCGATGATCGTCTTCTGGACAAATGTCAAGGGAGCAGTCTTCCCCATGTTTGTGGTTACGTGTACTGAACTAGGCTGAGAGATACACGGTATTTATACTGTATGATTAGTAATTTACTCAAACTCAAAGTGAAATATTCTACTAATGTGAGATACTGGATTTTTCATTTTTAGGAGCTGTAGGCTGTAATCATCTTAATTAAAACAAAAATGGCTTCAAATATTTCACTTTACATGCAATGATTCTAGAAAAAAATCAGAGGTTCACTTTCTGAATTATATTGTGACAAAAAAGAAACCCCCCCCACAAGCCTGCCTCGCTCCTCCATAAGGGTTTTAGATCTGGCCTGAAAGTCCCAGGTCTTCTTTCTCTTGTTTGAAGGACAAGTGTCCACAGTCTGGTCTGTGGAAACAACCTTAACCAAACCCAAACACCCAACGTTATTGGACAAGGTGTCCCCTCCTCACAAAAACAGTTACACCCCTTTATGTAACACTTATATTTGCCCAGTTATGGACATGTCTCCTTTAGGTTGTTTGTGTAGTTTCACCTTCACACTTACCAGTGTCACTCAGCTTCCTCTTCAGCTGATCTCGCTCCTCAGTAACAGTTTTTAAACTGGCCTCCATGTTCACAGTTTTGTTATCTGAAAAATCAGAAAGATCAAACATCTGAATTGTGCAACGAAGCTGCCATTTTGAGAGTTGATGTTACGACATGGAACATCACTAAATGTCCACAACTTAGGAGATAATGTACTTTAAAACAATATGGATATTGTGTTTTAATCTACTGTATTAATGATGGGTAAAATTCATGTTTAATATTATATAGTTCATAAACCTTTTCTTCATTCACTGCATATTTCTGGCATAAGTCACTGGCTTGAAAAGAAACAAGGACACAACATTTACAATATTTACAAGGAACAGTATTTGTAGGGGTTCATTTGTGCCAGAACAAGCTGGATTTGGATCTGGATATATTTTGTCTATTTAAAGACTGAAGTGTGTAGTGGATGATTGTATCAGTCTCTTTGGCAGTGACAAGACGTAGAGTATTAGGTGTTTCCATTTGATATGATCCCAGATATGCCCAAGATTTGGGCTTAGTAATGATTTGGATACAAGGGCTCATCACAGTTATGACATGTTTCATTCTCATACTTACCAAAAGTATCTAGTTTTCTCTTCAGCTCATTGGTCTCTTCAGTCTGGTTTTTGCAGTTCTACTCTGTACTTGCTCTCATATTTTCAGAATTGACTGAAAGAGCAGAAAATCTTCACATTACATCTGACCAACAG